ACCCCGCACAACATGATCTACTCGACCACCATTATGGTTACCGCCAAAAAATAAACCGGAGGTAAAAAAAAAAACGGTTACCTGGTTGGCGAGTTCACGAAGTGAATTGGCTTGTTTTACACCGTCTTTGCCAAGCGACGAAAACCCAACCCCGATGGCAAACACCGGGGGGGCCGCAGGGGGGGGGGGTATTGGTTGCCTTTCCGTGTATCTGTTTCGTGCGGTTGGGGCTTTGCCCCTGCGTGAAGTTTTTTCTCTCGACGTGAACAGTGTTTTGATGGGTGTGCGGTAGCGAGGGAAAAGGTTTATCATTGCGAGATGGCACTCAACGGTCTACGTTTGTATTGAGTGTTACTGCCGTTCGTATCGACTGTACCGTCGTGTCGGTGGTCGGGGGTGTCGCTAATCCTCCGTTGCCAGCCTTGTCCCGAAACGTTTTCGGAGCTTGGCCGGGTTTTTTTTTTCAGCGAGCATTCTCAAAGTAGTTTTTAGCCGTCGCGGAGCAGCTGTTGTGGGACCTCGTCCCGGAACTTATACCTGAACAATACTTTGTTTTTGATTTGTCCAGCGAGCATTCGCCAAATGGCGAAAGCCGTCGCCTATTATCCGTAGTCGAACCTTGTGGACAAGTTTACCGGAATGTTCGCGCACGTTCTTTCATCATCAGCTGGCGTTCTCGACATGGTTGAAGCTGTCGCTGATCATCTGTGGTCGTCCCTTATCCCGCAATATTCCCGATCGTTTTTGCTTTGGTTGCCATCAGCTGGCCTTCTCTAAGGTGAAGGCGAACTTGGGTCTGGACCAAGCCACTTGCTGCTTCACCGGCGCCGCTCCCATCGCGGTCGAGGTGAGTGCGTCCGAGCTCGTCGATTTTTATTGAAGGGGAGAGTGTGGCTGCTGTGGCTTTTGCATGGGGCGAAAGTTGTGTGTGTTGACTGCTGTGGGGGCTGGCTCGATTGGTGGTTATTTTTTTTGTGGCTCTCGTGCTTGTTTCTGATTGGTCGTCATTACCCCCGTCCGTCTGCTGATCGGATACAAGCAGATCATCGAGTACTTCGCGTCCCTCAACATCCACATCCTCGAGCTGTTCGGGCAGTCGGAGTGCACCGGCCCTCAGACGTTCAACACCGCCGAGGCGTGGAAGATCGGGACCTGCGGACGCCCGATGGCGGTACGTGTTTTTTTTTTTTTTTCTCCAAGAGTTGCTGTCTTATTTTTCATTTCTTTTTGCTGTTGGTATTGGTGATCTCTGGTTGGATTTCAAGAGATTCTTTGTCTTCTTTTTTCTTTCGCTGGTGGTGTTTCGAGGGCTGTTGTTGTTGCCGATTATTTTTGTGGCTGGTGCTGATGGCAGTGGTCGTGTTGGTGTTGGTGTTGGTGTTGGTGTTGGAGGTTGTAGCAGCCATCGCCCCATGCCTTGGTTAAACAAGCTGCCGGTGCGGTGTCGTCGGTCAATTGCGGTCAGGCCGGGCGAATCGACGAATACCTTTCTTTCTTCTTCCGACTTTTTTTTTTTTTGTGCGTTCAGGGCACCGAGTCCAAGCTTGTGCCGGAGACGGGGGAGCTTTGCTACCGTGGTCGCCACATCTTCATGGGGTGAGTTTTTTGTTCTCTCTCTCTCTCTGTGCCCGGAGGATGTTGTGTCGGCAGACGCTGTTGAGTTTTGCAAGAAACGTCGTGGCCAATGGTCTAACAAGATGAAATACGAATGTATGCCCCCCCCGCCCTGCCCCCCGCTATAGCCCCAAAAAGGTGCAATCACAACCTAAGCTCGCCATTCATTCGTTTTCTGCCTAAGTTTACCCAAGAAAGGTACATGCACAACTTTAGGTCGCCTTCATTTCGTATGCTGCCTAAATGAACCCATTTCAGGTACTGCACAATCTTGACGGACCTTCCATTCGTTGTCTGCCTAAATAAACCCGCAATAGGTACTTGCACAACCTGAGCTCGCCTTTTTTTCGTTTGCCGCCTAAAATAACCCAAAAAGGTACATGTACAACCTGTGTTCGCCTTCTTTTCGTTTGCCGCCTAAATTAACCCACAAAAGGTACATGCACAACCCCGAGAAGACGGCGGAGACGATCGACGAGGACGGCTGGATGCACAGCGGGGACGTCGCCACGTTCGACGAGGACGGCGACGACAGGACCGAAGGTCCCAGGTATGTTCAATGTTGACAGTGTGTTCTTCTTGCTCTCTGTTTTGATGGGGTTCTTCTGCCCTCTCGACACTCGTGTTGACCAGGCTGGGGGCCCGAGGGTCGAGCGGCCCAGGTATGTTTGAGCTCAAGTGTGTTCATCGAGCTTTCTTGTTTCGTTCCCTTGAGCACCGCATGCGTCTAGGCATGGGTAGGGTTGAGGGGCCCACGTATGTGAAGTTGAACGGTGTTGATCGTGGTCTCTTCTTGCTTTTGGTTTGGACATGTTGTGAAGTTCAGCCATGGGTATTGATTGTGTGCGATGCACATGCGAAAAAAGACGGGGGCGGGGCGTACTCTCATGTTTTGCACGCCTTAGCGGTTAGACCACTGACCATGCGTCCTCGAAAGGACGGAGCATTGTTCCCACAGGACCGATCACCGATGGCCAATCGTTCCTTTCTACTTTGCCAAAGGTGGCTCAAAAATGTCTTCCCTAGTCTGTCTATCCTAACGATATCCCTTCCCGCCTTTTCAACCCACCTCCTATGCCCCACTACAGCTACCGTCCTTTCCTCTCTATTCCATGCCTCAAACATCTCCCTGTACGTCCTTTCTATTTTTCCCAGCTCAGTCACGCACACTTCCCACTTGTACAATGGACATTCCGCGACTACATGAACGCGGTCTTCGCATTCGAAGCCGCAATAAATTTTGAACTCGTCGCCTTCGTCGTTTACCGTCCTATGTTTTCGTCGACGTTCTCGAAGGCCGATGTCCCCGGTCCTGAATTTGACCGTAAGCTTTGTTCCTGCATCCATTAGTCCATGCAGGTAGTCCTTGAACCCTAAACCCTATTCCTTCCTTCATCATTCGCTACACTTCTATACCCTCCTTATCCTTGGATTATTTCCTTACATTCTGTTCTCTCTCGGCACAAGCAACAGATATCTTCTCCTTGAACCCCTGTAGACCCTCCGTTTCCAGCGTTTCATCTTCGTCGATGTCGAGCCCCTTCCATACGTCTTCTACAACCTTGACCGATTCCGTGGGTAGTCTACCCCTTTTGTTGTTTGCCCACTTCGCCTCCCAGGCTATTCTCGGCAACCTCTCCTCTCCCATCCCGCACATGCGATACTGCCAGGTCAGCTTCCTCGCGTCTCTTCCCGACCGTAGGGATTGGATCCCCAATTCTGCCCTCACGGCTGCATTACTTGTGCGCCTGGAGCATCCTAGGATGATTTTCGCTGCTTTCATCTGCGCCGCCTCGAGTTCTTTCACTACCCTTTTATTTCCTTCCTATGCTTCTCCGGCGTACCCTAGCGGCGGTACGATTACGCTCTTCAAAACCGTCAATTTGATGCGTGTATCGAGGTGCCGGTTTGCGAGTATTGG